TTTTGTTTATGAGGCAGTATTCAAGTTTAATTACTACTCTAAATTAAACTCTAACTGGCATCAGGAGACATCCCTTTACATGACTAAGTTAAAAGAAATCTGGAAATCCGAACTCTGGATTTTTCAAGTAAGTTGATATATATAGGAATGAAATTACTCAAAATTAACAGCAATTATAGAAAGCTTTTAAGCATTTATGGGCAACTGTTACATGTTCCTAGAACATGTATTTATTAGAAGACTTTAATTTTATTTCTCATGGCGACTACCTAAAATATCCTAAGAACATCAGCAGAATATACCTAAATGTTTGCTGGTGATTGAAGGATAGCTTTCATTTTTATTTAATTGGGGGGGAGAGGAAGTGCCATATGAATATTTTATATAGAACAGCTTCTTCTCTGGCCATGTCCAACTGTCAATTATAGTTGGAGAGAAAACGTGTTGATAACAATCAGGAGGAAAGAGATGCTATCGTATTTATCATAAGTAGGTGACCAGTTTGGGGTGAACTCAACTCTAGGAAAAATAAAAGTTAAAAGCAACTAGCAAAAGATGATGCCAGATGGCGTCTGTCATATTGTATTTAGGGTTATTTTAAAGAGATTGCCGCCACTATGAAAACATTCCATTGACAGAGTTTTCCTAGACTGAATGAGAAATCCCAGCAGAGAATATTCAGGACCCTCAGTAAGTGGGTTTCCCCCTTCCTCCTTTAAATATATAACTGGAATATTTAAAGCGGAGAAAATGTTATTTCATAGCTGCAACATAGTATAAACTCAAAAGCGTCATGATATCTTATACATGTGTCACTATAAGGGTTTCCATTCATTTCTAAGGGGACCTTTGTAGATTTCAACACTACTGTTGCTAAATAACTGTATAATAACTAAATAAATATCTAGCTGTGGGATTCTAGCCTCGTTGCCTGGATGATAGATGGTGACATCAGTGGAGGGGTCTGGTGGCAGAGTCAAGGGGAACCCTGCTGGCCTGGACAGCCCAGGGTCTTGAGCGATTAGAGATATAGATGCTAGCATGTTCATGTATTTAGGTTAATCTGGGTCTGGCAACAGTATGGTTAACGTGTGTGTGGTGTGCACTGTGAGCTCAGCAGTTACTGGGCCAACTGTCTCGGTATTTCTGGGAATCCTGCCTATTCACAGTGCAGGGATTGTTCAATTGCTGCAAAATGTACAAAATGAATTTTACAAAAATGAATTGTAAGGAAGGCCCCATTACAACGATTTTACAGCAAAGATGTCAACATCAATTTTTCTTTCATGCATAGCTAATGATTAAAACAGCATATTCCATTTGCCTAAGACAATTTATTTCATATTGGCACATCAAAATATTGAAATACAAAGTTATCTTTACTCTACCCTTTTTATTCACTGTTGCTGAACCCATACCATTGTTCAAACCAGGAAAAATAAAACAAACTTGGCACGAAATACTTAAAACAAAGGCTCATCAATATTCTCCAATTTGTCAACATCTCAATTACGGCACTGGAAAAAATGTAAATTTCATGTGCTCTAAACACTGAGGGGTCTATTCTCTTGCCAATTCACATGTGTAACTCCCATCAGCGTTAATGGGAGTTACACAAACCCATCAATAATAATAATACTTTGTACATATACTGTGCCTTTTATCTAAGGCTCTCAGAGTGCTCTAGGAACAAGGAGGCTGCTGCTTAGTCTTCACACTGGCAAAACACACAGTGAAACACAAAGCATCGTTTGAATCAGCAGGTACAGAACTAGGGACCCCAAGCCTTATTATCAAAGCCCAGTTTACTGACTGCATGTCAGGCTCAGAGCTGTACCCTAATTCTATCTTTGAAAAACCAGATTTCCTTCCTCATTCTAATGCAACTAACAAGACAAATGCCCTCCTTTTGGCTGCGTTTCGAAAACAGAAAACCTAGTGAATGAAAAGAAGGGCTTCATATTTACACAGTTGACTGGTGTGTGGCTGGAAAGACAGTAAGACACCAAATTTTCTGAGTTCATTTCTTATGATATTAAAAATTTCATTTTTTTCTCTTTTCAGTTTATCACGCAAACACCCATATGAAAAGATAACCTTTCATCTGTGAAACGACAGCTCTTTCAGTATCAGGTCATGAAACAAGGTGTTTTTAGGTTCCAAAGTCAAGATTTGTTAGAATCATTATTGTAAAAGTATTCACAAAAATTATAAAGCAACATAAATGCATGTATTGTTTTATAGCATATGGCTATTAAAGTTTAATTTAAAATGTGTATGAAAACATTGTATTTAGTACAATTCATCCCTATTTCTTGTGTTTATCATAATTTGTTTGGAAATTGAATCGTTTTACAGTTTTCCATATGCCTGTTGTGCTAATAAATTCTGAAGATATAAGGAAGTCTCTTGTGAACTGCAAACTTAGATTCCAGTGAAACATTATGATATATTTAATATGAAGAACATAAATTTCCCTCGCAGGTTTTCCATTCTACATCAACCCGAAGATCTAACCTATGATAAGCATATGTGATTTCAGTCAATACCTCTGCTGACTTTGCCCTGAAGCAGATAATTAATCTTTCCCACTGAAAGCTACTCTGAGCATTTTTGTGGAACAAAGTATCAAAATATCTTGAAAACATGTTTAAAAGATTATGGGAGCAAAACATACTTAAGTCTGGCCTTCAAAATTTAGGGTCTGCTGTCAAAAACAAACAAAACAAGAAGCCCAGAACACCCCCATGCATGTGTTTTAACCACTGACACAGTGAGCCAGGTAGAAAAATTCTCTTTGCACGAACAGTCTCCATTTTATAGAAACAATAACTTTCCCCCACTTTCTCTCAAAGTTTAACACAGCTGAGGGGGAGGAAGGGGAGACAGCCTTCCTAGTGCTCACAGACATAAGCCACCGCGTCCATTCTTTAATCCCGCAGAGATATGATTAAAGGAACAAAATGCTTGGGGGATCAAATCCTTCAGCAAGGGATAAGTGGGTGCGGCTACCCACAGCAAGGAGGGCTCAGTGTTTTCTTTCTCGACAGAGGATGTCTTAAATGTCTTCTCTTTCTTGACCAAAAACTCTTAATAAAATAAAACTGACTAACTAGAGTGATAAAACTTCATGCTTTGTCTGCTGTGGTAGCTATTCCCTGCTCCAAAGCCTCCATTTTTCCCTCTCCTGCCTCCTCTCTCTCTGACCCTTCCTGTTATCCCTCTCACCATAACTCAACTAACCCAACAGAACCAGTCAGTTTTAAATTTCAGTTGGGACCTTGGTGACCTGTTAATGAATCTACAGAGAAGAGAAAAACTCACAGTGTTGAGTTATGCCTGGTGTCGCTAGCTGACATGGAGTCAGAAATGCTTGAAGCGTTAACGTAATTGCAAGAATGTGAAAAATGAAGCACTGGGCTCCTGAGCCAAGTGAAAGGTCAGAGGGAGCCTCACACAGGAGAAGTTTCTGGAAGATAGCCTCATTAGGCCATTAAGTCTGTTTCTCCTTCTCCCCCCCCAGCCCCCACCCATCCATGCAATGTTGAGGGTGTTTTGTTTTTATTAATAGATATTTCAGCCTTTGTGTTGCCCTAATGTGGGGCAGTGGGGAGGACTGAATGATGGAAAGCTTTCTGCATTTGACCTGGGGTCACTGGGAACCACAGTTAAACCTCTGAATTGCAGATCCAGAACTGAATCTATATACCTTCAAAATGTCTTAGGATGAAGTTTATTTTTACAAACAGTCCAACTGATGTATTCAAATCAATATACATGTATCTCACAGGTTCTTCTATACTTTGCCATTTGATAGTGCATCATAAGACAAATTCTAAACAGGATTTGTTTACAAGTGAAAGACATCCAAGAAAGGCCAGTTTCTAGACCCACTTGGAAACTCAGGAGTCCCAAACCCCTTGCCAGAAACATGGAGGAAGGTGTACACTCACAGGACACCAATGACTCCCTTTGAAATGGCCTGTATGATTACAGCTCAAGCTGTAAAGCAGTATTTGACTTGGAAACCTGTCGAATGCTTAAATATTGTGGCCGTAAACAGAATCATAATAGAGATAAAATAGACTTAAGAGATCCGACACCATATAATGCAAAATATTAAAAAGTAAAATCTATACACATTCCTGGACCACATTCAATAATGCATCTTCCTGCAAATGATTATTTTATCCATAGAAGAGCCATCCCTACCAATATACAATTGTTCTCTGTTGTAAATGGCAAAATTCATTCCAAATTTCAGAAGGCTTCCTTGACATCTCCAGTTGTTCTCTTTGCCTTCTGAAATTCTACTTTTTTTAAAAAAAATTGGGACAAAAGTCACTATGTCAACTGTATAGACATATCTCTTCTAAGTGTGTACATCCTATTACATCCGAATTTACACCGAAGTAAACTTCTGAAGTAAGGGAAAACTGCCTCAAAAATATCTTTCTCACTGTTTCTATTATAACCAGAACAAACAATATTTGAGGAATTTGAAAGTCCATCTTCCCAAAATAAGAGTCTGTATAAACTCTCCACCCCACCCCCACCCTTGGCAGGTATTTCTGGAGTAAATAAGAACAAATTTTTTCATCTTACATGCTTTAGAGTCGTGGCTGCTTTAATTATAAAGAACTCCTATAGTGCATATTATAATCAAATATCCTGTTTATAGTATAATTCCACTTCTGGATTATAGCAGTTAGGTAGGTCTGTCTTTCTGCTACTCACCAAAGTAGTGTAGATAACCACATTTGTAAGGGAATTGGCAGAACCAATCAATTATTATTGTAATGTGGACTTTAAGATTAGATAGTTTATTCTGAGTCTTTAAATAAAGTAACAAGAGGAATCCGGACTCCTTACCAAGCAGCTGGTAAACTCCCTACATCCTTACCTGCCCCTCTCCTGTTTATACAGACTGATACCGTGAAATATGGAAGTTATTTTGGTCATGCTTACTTTTTGCACAAGGAAAATTCTTAACTTTTTACCTTGTTCACTGCTGTTGTCTCCACTCTGGGAAGCATGGCCCCCACTGGAGGGCCCCGGGGTGCCTGCTGAATGAGTTGAGGTTGCATCATCATGGTCTCGCCAGGATGAAGGGTTCTGATGTCAGGATGCCAAGGAATTTTCCCACAGTTACCATTTAAGCCATATATGAGGAACCATGAAGACAGATAGGCACAGAGGGAGAAAAAAAAAGTGTACATATTAGTATTTTCAGAAGCGGCCACAGGCATGTTATTCTACGTATCTTTTTGTTGTTGTTGTTACATCAGTATATACATTTGTTAAAACTGACATATCTCTTCTAAGTGTGTACATCCTATTACATCCAAATTTACATCCAAGTAAAGTTAACTTCTGAAGTAAGAAAAAACTGCCTTAAAATGTCTTTCTGACTTTTTCTATTATAACCAGAACACATTTTCCTGGTGCTCTCAGACACAAAATCCATCAGAATATGAGGCTCTACAAAATCCAATGCTCCCTGCAAGAGAGCACGGGATCAACGATGTGTGATGGGACATCTCTTTACACCTTTCAAATGCGTTGCCCTAAAATAGTCTGTCTGAACTCTCCAAATGTTATCAACAGGTAGATTGTATAAAAAACACAAGCAATATTAACCGGGTCATCAATATCTCAAAAACACCAAACCCTACTTAATTTGCGCAACTGGTAATTTTTAAAATGAAACTAACATGGTCTGCTTGCCACCTTGGAAGCAAGCTGACACTTTCGCTTTAAGTGACCGAACAGTGGCTTCTTGAAGAACTTTGAAGGACTACAAGGCAAACCCGGAGGTACCAGCTCATGCTACTTTGCTAATATATTCGTCTCCTGTTTCCCTCCCCTTTCCTGACCATTCCCAATACCACTGCTGTAGCTTAAAGGGAAACAGGAATTCTAATGTACAGGAAGGACTTTATCAGCACCACATGAAGGCAGGCAAGAGATGGAATTTCCTCTGGTAGACAGGGAGAGCAGGAACCACACATGAAACACAGCAGCCTTGGGGCCAAAGCTGTATACTTGTCACCTATGTGCTATGACTGACTAAACCCTCGGACCCATAGGCAAGTATATTCTTTAGGGGGTGGGATATAGAGCACAGGACACAATTTTAAAGAAATCACAATCCTCAGAATTGGTAAACAATAGTTGAGAACAAGCATAGGCCACTTACAAACCACTTGGCTGTGTGAAAGTAATCTTGCCATGATACCCGGACACAGAGTTAATTAGGAAAAAAGCAGCCTGTCATTTTTCTCAAAACTAAGACTATAATACCTTCAGCAGATAGTGCTACTGAAATAAAACCAAAGTAAGACAAACGAAGGAAATACTCTTACTTGGAACAACAGCAACAGACATTTCCCCCCTATAGATCTTCCATAAACAGATTGTAAATTAATACTTGGAATTTGAGTAGAAGATGATATGATCCAGATCTCTGGGATCAACAATATCAATGTCAAATAGTGCTGCCAGCAGCGTTAGCAGGCAAGCTATCAACTCAAAGTCAAGACCTAGATTAGAAATCATGACTGTAAATATAGTTCAGGTTCAAATCTCCACAACAAAGATGTGATGGAAAAAGAGGATTAAGGAATTAGCTGAGCATGGTAGTACATGCCTATAATCCCAACACTCAGGGGCTCAGGCAGGAGGATTGCCATGAGTTTGAGTCCCATCTAGACTACACAGCAAGATCCTGTATCAAAAAAGAAAGAAGGAAAGAAATGGAGGAAGATGGCAGGGAGAGGAGAAGGGAAGAAAGGAAGGAGGGATGAAAGAAGGAGGGAGGGAGGGAAGGAAGGAAGGAAACAAGAAAAGATTGATTAGGAAATGAAATTGAGTAAAATGTATTACACCAAGTTATCTGTCACTTTGCAGTCTCCTTATGTCAGATATTTACTGATTGGTGATCACATAAAAAGTTAGAAGAATTACAGAAGGGAGATGGAAGAGAAAGAAGCCAGGCATGTACTTATTCTGCAACACCATGGACTGTAGGATACTTTCCCCTAACTAAACTTTCCAGTGTACACAGCCGGTGATGTTAATTTTATGCACTGCAGGCTTTTTATTAAGCTGGCTGCTATAAAAGCTCCTTACCCCTCATGAAAATTACAATAATTAACCACTAACACCTCAACTATGTTTTAAGGCAAATGTCATCCAACACTATTATATAATCGTTTGGATGGAGCCAGGACAGGTCTTTCTGTTTAATCACTGGCTTGATGGGAGGGGTTCGCACACAAGCAATTCCTGAAGCTGAAAAACATGGACTGTGTTCTTATCAGCCAGGCCTGGGTTGGACTCTAAAGTCAAGCCTCGTTAATTCATAATCTAGTATCTCTCTTTCAGTGGCTTTCTGGAGCAGTTGTCTTCTAAAGTCACATTTGTCAACATTACTAGGAAAACAATGGCTTCCCCCAACCAAGTTAGTCAGTGTGCTCACCAAATTTTCTCAGATTATCTTATCTACCATTCCTGATCTCTTCCCTCTTCTCCATCTCACCTCTCAAAAACATAATCTCTTGAAAAAGTGTCACATTTCCTTGGTGTCTCTTGTGCTATGTTCAGTGGAAGGACTGAAGCAAAATGGAAGGAACCTCATGTCATTCATCTAATCTGTAGAAGGATGACACAGATCCCTCTGTGAGTTCTGGGGATAGAGACTCACCCCAAGATGTCTACATAAAACTACATATAGTGATGTGATCATATATAAAGATAAACATGGCTAATCTAAGCAATAGAAACAAACAAAAAATCTCCCTGATCATAAAATTAAAAAAACAAAACAAAACAAAACCCACAACCTACATAGATAACATAAAGCATTACCCATATTACTGGGTTTTTCTTCGAGTAAAATATTTGTGTATATCACAGCTTCCTTGTTTTCCCCTCCTAGATAGTTTCCAAGTTTGCATCCTTCAAGAATAACCACCTGGACCTCTGCCAAATTATAAGCAGAAGTTGAGTGAATCCTGAACCAATGTGATATACAAAAGCATGTAAAAACACATGACGTATGTAGAAAAATAAAAGAGAATTGATTGCTGCGTGCATCAGTGTAGATGAGAACTCGTGTATACACATTCCACAATACATGTCCTGTTCTCTAGCCAAAAATACCATGAAGACACCCCAGGGCAAGGAGGGAACATGTTTCTATTCCCAAGGGCTTTAATAATTGGAAGTCAAAGATGGTACTCCCGTTGTTCTCTATATAATTGCGTTAAAGAGCAGTGTTACCAGGAGAAAAGCAGTGAATACCGAGTAGAGCACAATAGGAGATAGGAAATAGATACAAGAAGCTCCGTCTCCAGGGGCAGTTTTTTCTATTTGCTGGGCTACAGACTCACAGCTGATAATGCAAGTTGTAATTAATATAAAAGCAAGAGACAATATGGGCAGAGCTTGTAGGAGTGGGGCCACAGGAGAGCATTCGGCTGCTCTCCTTGGCTTCTCATTTGCACAGGGCTTTCCCTAGAAAACACAATCCTGCCAGTGTTTTTTCCCTTGAAAGTTAAAAAAAAAATTGATTTAGCACTATCATTGAATTTTGCTAAATCTAGAAAAGAGAATGGAGAGGACAGGAGTCTCTGGGTACAAGAAGCAAATCCTCTGTCACTGCTTTTGTTGAGGTTGCAGATAGTCTGCAATTACACTTCAAACCAGAACAGCACTTCTGTGAGGGTCCTGCCTATAGGATAATACTTAAGAAGCCTGGCCAATTGGTAGTGTTTCCCGTATCAAAATATTCCCCAGAGCGCACAGTTCATTCATGGGGTCACTGGGGTAAACTGCTCAAGAGTTTCTAAATAAAACCGTGAAAGTAAAATGTCTTCGGCTTGAAGGAGGAAACAGGAACCACTACTGCATTTAAGATTTGATAAAAATAACCTGAGCTCATTCTTTTAGACTCCATATACAAAGTTATTCCCTGCATATGGGACAAGGGAGAAGACAGAAGGACAGAATCAACTTTTGGGGCCACCTCTACTAGGTCCTGTGATTGGGAGTGAAAGCTTCACTGACATCATTTTGGACCCATGTCCTTTAGCTCTCTAAAATTATGAAGTCACACAAGATAATTCCCAAGGTCACATCCACTTATGTCTATTTTGAAAAGTACTTTAAAAATAGCCAACTGTTTTTTTTTCCTACAACCCATATAACTAAATTACATAAAACCAGTAAATACATAGGAAGCATGAAAACATAGTAGAGCAATTTAAGACATGCATTCATAGCTGCACCTCAACAGAACACATTGAAAGACATGTTCATTAGCTGAAGAGGTACACACTCATCTGACTTGACACATTTAAACAACAAAAGGAAGGTATATTTTTGTCAATACTTCCAGTTGATATGACTGAAGTTACTCATGTCCTACAGCTTTATGGTCTTTTAAGTTCTAGTTAACAGTGTGGACAAAACTGCTTTTGAAAAGATGCAAGCATTCTTATCCTGAGGCAATCAAGTCCACAGTTTAAAATGTTTATGGTATGGCTGGGATAAATGTTGGAATTTCAACTTTTCGATTGTGACGTTGACCAAGAACTCAGAACACCAGTGTGCTTTTAGAAGCCAGATTCTTTTAAAATGTAAATAAAGCTGGAGATTTTGACTCAACATTTGCACCATGGCATCAGTCTTTGGGAACTAACACATAGGCACATCTCATACAAGGGCAACACCCTTTGCAAATGATTGTTGCATTGAGGGTGGACTCTTGAAGAAGACAGAAACACATTTGTTATTGCAATGAGTGTTAAATGCTTTCTATGATTTTGAAGTGTGCTGGGATATCCCATAGACCAGTCAGTACTTAAACAGCCAAGGCAATAATGTCAAATAACAACAGTTCTTCTCATAGCATTGTGAATGTCTATGTGACTGCCAAGTGTACCTAGGTTCCATATCACCACAGTTACACTGAAGGCATACTCCAACTGCACAACCTAAATAACTTAAATGATATAAACACTCTTTGAGAAATAAACAGGAATGCTTCCAAAAAGCCGAAACTTCAGCAGCAACAAACAACAGAAAGCCTTGTCCTCCACCAGGGTCCTTAAGAAGGGACACTGAGTTCCAAAGTAAAACTTTCCAAAATTAGGTCCCATAGGCTTTAAATAAAGTGTAACCAAGTATCTAATATCACACTTCAGTGTGAGCAACTAACAGACAAAAGAAATCACTCATGTTATTAATGTTAATATCAAATCTCATTATTCTTCCTTCATCTTCAAAAGACCAAGCCCTCAAACTCAAACCTCTCCTCACTGCTGTCATCACTTTTAATTTTTTAAGTAATAATATAATTTATCTACCAGTACTTGATCATTTTCTGTCAAGATTGAGATTCTGGTAATTCTCTCCTCTGACCTAACCCATTTAGGAAAAAAAAAAAACTGTATCAACATAAATATACTTGACATATTCAGAAATGCAAAACAATAGCAGCATATGTTCATTTAAACTTCAGAACAGAAATGAAAGTAAAATGTCATTTACATATGATGTTATCGAGTCAGCCAATTTTAAGGTACCTGACAATTCATATTAATTCACATAACTGTTATATTTTCTTTACTTACTTTTTTCAAATAAAATAAAATAGAGCTGTTTGGTACTGTAAACAGGAGTGACATAGCTATATAACCATATGCATTACAAACAGGTGTAGCTAGGAGAATATCTTTCAAACAAGTATAGTTTGGTCATGTAAACCTGGTGTAAAGATGTAATATATTTATACATAAATATTATGATGATTCAAACTTGACTTACTATATCTAAAAAGTTGATCTCAAATTATATAAAATAGAAAAATTGGGTATTACCTTTTTTTTTTTAGTATTTCAACAGTCTAGGAAAAACATAATTATTTTATGACAGTTTCCAAGTTGAAACTTAAAAGGAAAATGCTTTCTTGACATGTTTGTTTTAAACATGATAAATTTGAATGTCTGGGAAACTTAACATTAGCTGCAGCTGGAAAACACAGTTGAGTTTCCTTTGATTATCATCTATTTTTCCCTCAGCAGTATTGTGAAGATACTATCATAGCCATTTGCTAACTGCAACAATTATCCTTATGCTATAGTAAAAGTAAGAGGTAATATTAAAAACAAGCCTGCCTAATGAATCGACAACACAGTAGAACAACCAAAGTTGCACGTCTTATTTTCTCTTTGGTTCCAAATTCCCCGTTACCATTAGGCACATCATGTTTGTTAATAATAAATGAACAACTCCAGTAACATCACTGAATGTAAAGAACGGAATGCAAGACCATTATGGGTCTTCTTTTAATGCATCTATGTTATATCAGAACACTTGTGCAACATTATAGAATATGAAATTAGCACAATACCCAGTAATAGTACATAAAAGTCTTTCCTAAAAGTCTTTGAGAATACTGACTTTGAAGATATTTATTCAGTTTACAACTTCAATCATTCATATTTCCAAGCATTTTAATAAGAAAATGGAAAACTATATTGGAACTTAATATCTTGCTCTTGATAGTTCTTTCAATGCTTTTCAGTGAACAGAACTACAAAGTTAGTCTTTCATTTTTTCTTTCAGTCTTCTCCTTGCATGCTCCCTCTACACACACACACACACACACACACACACACACACACACACACACACACACACACACGCATGCACCCACACGCACACGCTCGTGCACACACATACACACACACACACATGCATGCACGCACAATGTATCTTGATACCACTTAATAAGTATAGAGGTGTATGTGTTTTTGGGGTGTCAAACAGCTGTCACAAACTGTCACCTCCACAAGAGAAACCTTGGCACACAATAAATGAAACTGCACTTCTTTTTTAGCTGTCATTATTCATAGCCAATAAGTTGAACTGCTCACGGCATTTCATGTGCAAATAAAACCACGAAGTAGCTCAGTAGATCAGAATAGTGGGCCAACAGATAAAACAGAGAAAACAACACGCTGTCTGGGTCCTTCTGAAGTGGCTGATCATCACCCTGCACCAGCGTGCAGCAAATGAGATCCAGCCTGGGGCAAGGCATTAAATATGCATATCAAAGCAAATGAAAAAAAATAAACCTGATGACTCAAATTGGACACATTTATATGCTGAAAATGTCCCCCTTACATCACTTTCAGGTAGGGGTTCTGTGGCCTTTTCCCTGTCTTGTGACTGAGGAGTTGAAGGATGACAGGTTTGTAGGAACGGGTGAAAAGCCTTAGAAGGATGCCCTTTGTCGGGTAAGAGGGGGTGGCCTAGGAACAAATGCAGTCTATATGCCCATGGTACCTAAACCGCTGCAGAGCCTTCAAGGTTTTCTCTCTCGTCCCGCATGAAACACAAGCATGTGGCAGACCTCTCCATTTCCCTCTCAGTATGCTGGTGGAACAAATTATTGCTTCATTTCAAAACAAATAGCAGGGGGCTAAAGCAAAAATGCTGTAGTTCAGATCTCTAGGAAATAAAAGGCTCTAAATTATGACGCCCAATGAGGTGGCAAGCCCTCATGGATTCAAACTAAATCAGTTGTCATATTTACTTGATTGGGGCCTTGAAAGGGTAGCAACAAATGCTACAGTTGACTCTTTTATCCAAAGATGATGATTGCTAAATTATTCAAGCACTATTCTCTTAGGTACCACCTCCTTTTTTAGTCTGTATTTAAATATTACGATAGCTTCACAAATTGGCATTGTATATCAGCCAATACTCTAAACCACCTAGTTTATCTTATTTCTTCTACATCAGCATCAGCACCCCCTAACTCCCTTACATCCACCAGAAAACCCATTGTCAAGAAACTGTTGCAGAAAAGCAAGTTGTCACGAGCCCACAGAATAAGATGAGAAAAAAAAACAAAAAAAAAACAAAAAAACCCTTTTGAAGTACAAGGAACTAGAGACTTCTCATGCTTCGAACCGTGTAGATACATCCCTCTCTGTCCCCACCCCCATAATACAAATGCATACGAACTCAGAAACAGAAAGCAATGAAAGTAAGTAAAGAACAAAAATAAATAAATATTTATGAAGTAAACACTCCTCTTGAACCACAAGAACAAACACTGTAGAGACACAGGGAAGCAAAGAAACTTCCAATATCTGCTACTTCTTTTTGATTTCACTTAACACACGCAAGGTACAAAACCTCAGACCAATTCCACCATCACCTTAGAAACAGGCAAAGATAAGGACAAGTGCAGGAGCTTTGAGCAGCACAGCATTTACTCTGTATCCAAACTGGACACCCTATGCTATGGTTTCCTTTCATTATTCTCAACTTTCAGGCTGCTGTCTCACGCAGTGTGAAGGTTAATCTTTAAAATCAATGGCTGCTTCTTTTCAAAACTTTTGGTCGAGGGAGACAAGAACTCACAGAAAAGCTATTATTCCTCAGGTAGTTCAATTCATTCCTCTTCATACTCAGGAATTTGGGAGTGGGGAGTACAAACTGCCTTCAAATCTCAATGCCTGTTTAACTCCTACGGGGTGTTAAATTAGTATTGCAGCCATGAAGTTATCCAGACTCTAGCCGGTATTATTTAGGTTGTGAGTTCAAATGAATGTATGGACACTCTGCCCCCCACCTCCCAGTTCAAGTTCCCCAAAATACACTGCTATTCACACCTACTCTTTAACCTCAGCACACTAGCCTCCCCTACCATCCCTGGCAGCTGCAATCCTCTCTTTGCTTCTTATTCAGATTTGAGTATCACTACATATGCTTTTTCTTCCCCCATCAGATTCACTCTATCAGTTCCAAAATAAGATTAAAAACAGAGAGAATAGAAATCTCCTTTCCTGGCTTGACATCAGCGGGCATCTTCTACACTCTCCATCCTCAGTCACCAACTGTTAAAGTGTTAAAGCACAGCCACTAACCTATGATTATTCAATCTTAATTCCCTTCAGCTTTCTGTAATACAGTATTAAAAATTGGTTCATCAAGGTTGCTGTCTTTTATTATAGAGATACTTCAGGCACTTGGCAATAAGTCCATATTCTGACAATAAGTTTCTATGAGCAAACAGTCCTGAGAATAGTAATGTGTTCATTCACTCCTCTTATTGTTAATGCAGTGCAAAATTGCCAGGAATTCTCAGGATTGTCTTCTCTGGGAGAGAAATAGGCCCCCAATTTCCCAGTTCTCTTCTTGTTCCCACTCCCCATCCCATTCCCGAGTCCCTTAGCTGTTTTTTGCTATCTCTGATGCCTTGATTACACACAAAAAGAAACCAGAAAAGACAGAGACCATCATATCAAAAAGAGAATTTGCTAACACCCAAGTCACCAGGTCAGGGAACTTTACACATTAAGAGCACAAATCATTCTATCAACTCCTTGGTTCTTTGACTCTCAACATAAATAAGGACGGGGTCCAATAAAGAGGAAATGAAAATAAAGGCCATGACACTGGTACTGAGACAGGGAGGGCAAACTCCAATAGCTACCAAACCATTAAAAAACAAAACAAGTGAACTCCATACCACAAGGTTTTAGAAAAATGCTTTGCCCAGTGGCCTTCAGAGACATCCACCGGCTCTGCACACTTACGTGGTCGGCGAGATTTGTGGAGGAGCCTGAAAGTTCTTCATGATCGGACTTGGAGCTCCCATCTCTCTCGTCAATCACGAGGTCAATGGGCATTTTCCCCTTCAAACAGCTAATGTACCGGTGGCAGAAGTTATCACACAGTTCGTGGACCTAGGAGGAGGGTCATGGCGGAGGCTCAGCTCATGTTGTCTTTATATGTTTCATTTTTCAAGAGGAAGAATATCAGGTTGCAGGGTTACATTTGTAAAGAGCAACAATGTGATGTCTTCCAAAATAACTCTAATTAAGGGGTGTAAGAGCTAAAGGCAAGGAAACAATAGAGCAATTGTGGCAATAGATATTATTCCCTAGAGACTCCCCTGAGCAACAAGTTACAATAAAGAAAGAAACTGGACTGGAAGTAACTGGGTTCAGACTGGGAGAGCAGAGAAAAAATATGATTTGATAGTACTTTGGAAACATTTAAACTCTAGAACTGGGGACATTTGCCATTTCATAAGCAAGGTGTTGTATATATTTCCTGGGGAAATTATTGATGTATATCAATGCAAAGACATCCCCAAAAGGGCTATTCCCTCTACTTGCACCCAGTGGGAACTCTGGGCCTAGGGTAAGCTGAGCTAATAGAGACACAAGTAGACATTGTGTGCAGCAACACAAATGGCTCTTGCTGTACTTCAAATAATCCTGAATGCCTGGGGGTGGGGGGCTTTAAAAGGCAGGGCTGCCCTGATTCCCACATCCTCTGAGCCCCTGGGTTGAAAAGTCTATAAAGGAGGGAAATAGGAATGTGATCAACATCTCCAGATGAGTAATCCCTCATCCTGGATGCTTACAACATCCCTGGTCATCTGATTGAAAGAATATGGGGGTCATCAATGTTGGGGACTGTTGCTTCCTGCTTACCTTTTCTAACTCCAGAAGATGAAACCTTAGTACTTGTATTGCTTGTATCATCTGAAAGGGAAATTTAAGAGGATGGAGTTAGGATTCCGGGACTTGCATGTGTGTGTGTGTGTGTGTGTGTGTGTGTGTGTGTGTGTGTGTGTGTGTGTGTGTGTGTGTGTGTGTGTGTAAGGGGGTGTGTGCTGAGGGAACTGGGCAGAGGAAGAAGAAACCAGCAGGTGGCTGGGCAAAACCCACACATCAAGAAATAGGAAAACCAAATGATTACTGATCATCTCTGCCTCATTGGCCACAGGGGTGGGAACCAGTATAAAGAGTGGCCTTAGTACTAATTTTTTTCCCCTAGTCCTCACAGTGTGCTGCTGGTAAGGGTTGCTTTTCTCCCACCAGTCTTCTTTTACTGTCTCCTCCTACCCTCCACCTCAGGTCAAATTGGAGGAGGAGGGAGAGATAATGGAATAAAACATGAAAATATGAGAGAAGAAAGGAGAAGGGAGGAAAGGAAGAGAAGAGCAGAGCAGAGCAGAGAAGAGAAGAGAAGAGAAGAGAAGAGAAGAGAAGAGGGAAAGAGAAGAGAAAAAAAGAAGAGGGGGAGCCATTTCTTCGGATAGAAAGGCTTTTTAAAAAGAACAGCAAACTCGAGCAAGAGCCTCCTCTCAGAAGAAGGAAATACTCCAGATGAATGGGGAGGCAGGGCCTTTGAAAGAGGATTTAAGTACTTTTAATATTGAAATCCTGCAAATTAGCAAAAGAATCGCACCTAAAAGTGGCCTGCGCGGTTAGCCCCTCACCCTTTACCCATTCCTAGCCCGCCCTCCACCGCCCCTGCAGTTATTTCCTTCAGGGCAGCTGCCTGGGGCTCGGCTGGGCCCGCAGAGGAAATCGCTCCCTTCTCGCCTCTTACTCCCGAGGCCGAGACCTGGGAAGCATCCCACACCCGCCGGCGCCGCGGCGCCCGCTGCTGCCTCGGTGGGCTTCTTATCCCCTGAGGTCCATACTGCCCCTGGCTCACCCTACCCCCGCCGGAGCTCTAAATGGGTGCCTTCTCTTGTGCTTCCCTAGCAGGGCTTTGCTGCAACTCCTTGGAGCTCCAGGGGCAAATGAGTGTAACTCTGAGCTTGGGATGGGGCCGAGGCTGGGGACAAGTAAGAAACAGAGCCTTACCAAATTATCCAGCTCTGGGTTTGAGGAAAATAGAGGCTTTTCAGCGCGAACCTATAGGAAGCAGGGAAAGTCAGCATGAATCTCCAGCCCATTTAAAAAGAAAAAAAAAATCCTGTCGGCAACTGATCTGGATTGAGGGAGCGGGTACTCTGGAAGGGCAGGGGCAGGAGAAAGGACAGGGTCTTTGGTAAAATCTAAGAAACAGATTGGTGTCTTAAGTGAGTGGGGTCGGTGGATAAACAGCAGGGCCTGACTCGGTGGAGAGAGCCATGTCCTACTCCAGTCGTGGCGGAGAAGGCAAGGCGGCTCGCGGATTCTCTGAACCGGCTTCTGCAGCCTAGCCAGGAGCTAGGTCTCCCACCACCCGCACCTCCATGCTTGTGTAGACCTCTTTCCAGGCTCCTTGCTTCCTTTGCTCCCAGGCACTCCCAGGTCCCTCCCAGCCCCTCTCCCCAATTCTTGTTCAAGTAGCTGCAGGCGGGGAAAAGGCCAAGCCCCAGATTAGGAGCAGGTCAACTTTAATTCGAGGGTCGAGCCCCTGTATTCCTGGCTGGGGGGAAAAACAAACACCCATATTTATCTCCGTTTCCAATTCGCCTCCAGGCTAAGGGATGGGGAGGAGGCGCAGAGTGCCGACTGGGCCAGAGGAACAGATCGGGTGTCCTGCCTTTTCCTCTTCTTTCAAGTCAAGCTCCTCAGAAAGGGGAGGGAGGGTGAAGGGCTGCTGGGGGGTGGGGGTGAGCGGGTCAAGAAGGTTGGACCTGCTTGGCGAAGACCGCGATGTCCTCGTTGAAGGAGTCGGAGGAACAGACGTCTCCGCCGGCCACTCCGGGTTCCCGGGGAGTGCAGGTCGCCAGCTCGCACTTCTCAAAGACCAGTGCTAACAGAGGAAACAACGGGTGCCTAACGGGCAGCGCCACGCAGAGACACACGCACGAAGACGGGGTGCAGAGGGGAAGGAGCAAGAACTGTAATCAACAAGTTTGGAGGGTTTGCATTCTTTCTTTAATACAACAGGCACGCAACACACTACACCCTCAATCAGCCGAGCCTGGGCCACAAACAGAAAGGAAACAGCCTAGCCTTTCCCCTTGGTTCATAGGTCTTTTCAGATCAGCCCCGAGAAGCCCCCTGCCACTTTAGCCCACCAAATAAACATGTTCTCAGGGTGTAGTGAAATAACAAAAAGCTCAGGCAATTTAAAACTCGAAGTTGATCCAGATCCCACTATTCACGCCAGAGGTGCCTACCACCCAACCCTGACCTCCAGGACAGGGAACACTATTTGAATTTTTTTTCCTCCACAATCTGAATTGATCTAACAGGCATTTCTGACGAGGCTGAGGGCTTCATCTACATACACACAAGAGTGACATTTCCAATTTTAAGAAAGTGTTCTAATCTCTTCACCCTTTGCTTTATAAGCGTGTCCGCTCTGCTTGCAGTAAAACTCCGGTGGTAGGGCCAAAATAGTAAGAACGTTCAACTCGAAAGAGCTGACTTCTAAAGACCACATTTCTCCCAATGTTGCAGCGCACAAGAATAAATAAACCGCGTTTCAAAACTTGGAAGTGTGCATGCCGGGCGCGTACGCCCTTTGTGTTCCTTCGGGAGGCTTAGCTACACCTCGGGATGCTTGAGGCCTCAGGCTTTAGGCTCAGTTGCTGTTTATCCACTGTCCCCTCCCCTCGGCATCCCGCCGCCTTCCCCACCTACCCTCAGCCGGAAGAGCCCGAGTAGTGCACGCTTGGACCCTGCTTGCCCACCCCTCTCCAAGCTTTCCGAATATAAAATAATTTCCAGCCATTTCCCTGACTCCCCCTAAGAACGGCTGTATGCAAGCGGCAGTCTCTTCCACCCGGCTGCACTTCAAGGTCTGCCCCTTTATTTACAGAGAATTAAGAAGTGGGTGATTAGGACTTCCTGGCCGACAGAAGCTGCCCTGATTCCAGCTCAAGCTGCGTTTAGTGACTCCCAGGCCCTCAGTAGGAAGCAGAAAGGGGAGGGGAGGGGAGAAAAAGAAAGAAAGGAAGGGAGAGAGAGAAAAGAGGAAAGAAAAGGGAAACTGGAAGTTTCTCCTCGGCTGCAGAAAACTTTCCTCTTAGTCAAGGCCTCTGTAAGGCAGCCGTGCGTCTTTTGGCCAGGAATCTTGTCCTTGGGGAGAAGGCCCCGCCAGCAAGATTTGAGGACTTAGTCCTCAACGGAACTGTGGGGTCTGGAGAGGCCAAACTAAGGGGGTAGAGAATGTTCTGATTTTCTGGTCTCTGACTCAGGGGCCGAAGAGCAGGCTCCCTCCTGTGTCTTTCCCTACTGCAAGCAGTCCTTCCATGCAGAATGAAGTTCCCACTTATCCGCCCTCCTCACCCCACCACCACTACCACCACAGACAAACACACGCACTCACACACACTCACACACAGTTTAGCTGGGTCCGGGGGTCGCTTTACCCATAGATTGCGTCCTTGTCTCTTTTCAAGGCGTCGTTGACAGCAGATCCCATGCTGGCTGGCATGACATTGGGGTGCGGGGCGTGCGCGCCGTAGTGCTGCGTGGCGTGGAGCGGCGGCCCGTGGTTTAGGTGGTGAACCGGGGGAATCGGCCGCGGTGCGTGAGGGTCTCCGTACATGGAAGCAGGAACCCCTACTCCGCCCATCCCGCCGTAATGGGGCAGCTCATCGTACTGTCAGAGCCCGGCAAGTGGGCGGGGGTGGGGGGGTGGCAGAGAGGGTGAGAGAGAACCCAGGAGGGCAGAGGCAGGAAAGCAAAGAAACCCGGAGCAAAGAAGGGAGAGAACAGAGGAGTGGGAATGGGATAGAGAGGAGAGGGGAGAGGGAGTAAGACGAAAGGGGAGAGAGAGAGAGAGAGAGAGAGAGAGAGAGAGAGAGAAGAAAAGGAGAAAACAAAAATAAAAACAAAGTCAGAAAGAAGAAAAGTGCCCGACATAAGTTGAACACACTGCAAACCAAACCAGCAGAAACAACAGAGTCGAAAGTTGGGAGAGGTCTGTAAATTTTAAAATGAAAAAGTCTCCAAAGCAGAGAGCAGCATTCACAGAAGGGAGATCAGGGATACCGGGGGCACAGGGAGGCCCGGCTCCCACCGGAGGCTTCAGAACCCCAGCGAACCAACCAAGGGAGAAGTGGAGTTAGCTAGAGGAGGAAGCCCCGGATCCCACCCCTAACCCCCCTTCGCCTCCTCCAGGAGATCCAATAAATCAAAGGGCGAAATGAAACAAAATAAAGAGAAGAAAAAACGCTAATAATCAGGCCGAGAACACCAAGGACCAGGGAAGACTAGGACCGGTGCCTCCCCGGGGGCTGGGGGCAGAGGGTGGGGAGGAATAACGTGAAAGTTACCAGAAACATTATTTAGCAGCGGATTCCCTGCGTCCTTGTCAATTTCAGAGACAAAACAAGCAGCCCAGGCTAGTCTAGGCAGCACGGCCCCAGCGGCGGCCCCGGCGGCTCCTATGCAGACCGCGCCCGCCCGGAGGCGCAAGAACAGCGGCGAAAGAGGAGCAGCGGCGGCGGCAGGAAAACCCGGGGAATCGCGCTGCCGGGGTAAAAGCTGGAGCGAGGCGAAAGCGTGTAACAATTGCACACACGTACACACACATACACACGTACACGCACACACACACCACTCACACGCACTCGCCGCCCGCCCGCTCGCACAGCGCTGAGACACGCGCGCCCAGACACGCACACACGCACGCACACACACTCTCACACACGCAGAGGCATGGGGGGGAAAGAAGCCGATGAATAATTTTGCTACTATTTTTTAAAATACTGGCCGCCATCATCAAGCAAGAGCAGCAGCCAGCTTGAAGGGAGAGGAGGCATGGGGCAGGGCCCTGTAGGAGAGGATTTATATCTAGGTAAGTGTTGGAGATTTAAACCTACCCTTTGCGCCATCAGTCTGCGCTCCAATAAACTCCTGGATGTGTCGTATATTTAATATCCCAGTCCGGATAAGAAAGTGAGCTAGGCTGAAGAGTCTTTTTTTTTCCAAACCAAGGAGACTTCTCCCAATTTTCCAATGTTATTTTTAGGGGGGTGGGGGAAGCCCAGTCAAGAAAACGAAGATTTTTTTTCAATGATATTTCTTCTTTTTCTTTTTTTCCTCTTCTTCCTCCTCCTCCTGATCTTCCTCCACCTCCTCCTCCTCCTCCCCCTCCCCTCCTCCTCTTCGGTCCTCCTTTATCTCTTTTTCTCTTCTCTTCCTCTCAGTTGAAAAAAAAAGAAAGAAAAGAAAAAGAAAAAAGAAGAAAAAAAATTGTCAAACCCCCGAAATGAAGGTTACGAGCGGCCAGTCAGCAGCCCACATGTAACCGAACTGTCGAGTTTCATGGCTTTTTGCCACTCCAGCTGTCAATCAAAGCCCGGAATGTCAAGGTAGTGAATGAATGATGGTTGATGATGATGAAGAGGAGCAATCTTTCAGACTCGTTTTTTTTTTTCTTCCAGTAAAACTCCGCGAGGGGTTTCTTTTTCTTGAATTTTTTCCTCCCCCCTCCCCCCTCCTTTAGGTTTGCCCCCAAAATAGCTCTAATATGATCCTCTCTCTTTAAAGTATTGTTCAAAGAAAGCAAGGAGAAAAATCAAGAAAAAAATGAATAGTTTGCAAAAATTGGACTTCCTCCCCCCCTTTCTGGTAGGTATTTGTCTCTCCCTCTCTCGCTCGCTCGCTCTCACTCGCGCTCGCTCTCTCGCGCTCGCTCTCTCGCGCTCTCTTTCTCTCTCTCTCTCTGGGAGATGAGTGAGTGTCAGTAGGTGTTGGCAG